TAAAGATTTCTAAATTTCACAATTTCTTTCTCAATTACATAAGAATTTCTAAAAATGCGCATTTTAGTTTAAGACATAATTTAGATGTCTTTTAAGTCTTAAGGCCAGGTGAATAAAAAAAGTCATTTGCTTTTACTCACAGTTTTTGGAGAAGTTTTCAGCTTTACGTGAATAAAATTTTGATCAAAATTGCTCAAATTTTTATTCACGTAAAGCTGAGTAAAATTAATGATTAAAAGCAATTGCTTTTCTTTATATACCATGGCTTTTATGTTTACTGAGTTAAAATGTCAATCAAAAATGCATTATGTTTCAAAGAAAACCACATGCAAAAAGTATCGAAACTATAATCTTGTTAAAATAATGCGACATTTGCCTTTGTTAAAACAGTGATTCAAGAGGACATACTTTGCTTCTTTGTTAATTTTCAATATTTGAGAAAAATGATCTAAGATGTCACTTTTGTTCGTATCATTTAATTTTTTTTTTTTTTAATCAAAGTAACGAACGTTTTAAGGTTGTTCATGTTAATGTTACTCTCAGTGGCGTAGTAACTGGTTACTCTAGTACGTTTCTTTGTCAATAATACTCTCTCATTTTCGGATAAACTGTTGTAAACGTTTTTATTTTGCAATTAAGGTGGTACATGTTTTTTTTTATAAGCATACGCCTTATAAATATACCTAGACTCGGATTTTAATAAAAAAGAAGACAAGATAAGCATATTGTTGAATTTAAATATTTTTCTTTAATTTAAACCATTTAAACAAGGTTGGACTATGTTATATTAGCCTTTTTAATCTTTTTTTCTTTAATGTCTTTTTAAGTGTCAAAAATCCATTCGCTTTTGTGAACCTTTAAAAAACACAGATTTAACATATCAAACAAAGATGCGGCTGGAGTTGAAACTAACGCAGTTTCCACGATAACCAAAGTATGTGTGCGTAACACCACACATGAAGTTGATTTGGAGATTTTTTTTCTAAAATTTGTTTTTATTGAAAAACACACAAATAGTTGTGCATTTTTAAATTTAAACGTTTCGTTTACCGGTTTTGTGTTGTGTAATTTCTAATTATAAATAACTAATAAGTAAATAATAACTAAACCAGTTAACAAAAGGCATTTCTTAAAATATATCTTGTTATCAAAATTTTTACCATTTTTTTTCTCGGCTATCATCATAGCATTTAAATGGCAGTGGTTACTTCTTTAACTATTTTTATCATTAAATACTCTCTTAACTTCCAGCAGTTTTAAAGTACACGTTTTATTCCTGCATTTGCAATGTTCCAAAAGATCTGTAGTAAATGTCCCAAAATATCTAAAATCTATCTTTATTGAAATCATCAATCCTTTTAAGAAAAATATCATCATTGGCTGTATATACCGGCATTCTTCAATGAACCCTTAAGGCATTTTTTTCTGATTGTTTTTATTCTTTACTTAAAAAAATTAGTGTTAAAAATTGAAAGACTATGCTAATGGGTGACTTTGATATGGACTTACTAAACTATAATAAATCCATTATCATCTCTGATTACCTTGACTAAGTTCTTTCTCTTTTTTTCTAACAATAATTCAACCAACGCGAGTAAAACGCGAGTAAAACGCGAGTAACCTGTAAATCTAAAATAACTATTGATAAGATCTTTTTAAATTTTCAAATTCCAAACCTAATTTCCGGCAACTTAACATTATCAAATTCAGATCACATGACACAGTTTGTTTGCATTTTAAGAACTCCTTTCAAAAAACAAGCTTCATAAAAACTAAACGATCATTTAAGAATTTCAATATAATAAATTTATTCAGGATATTTTTAATATTGATCGGAAGTTTCATATTAAAAATAATGATAATGTCAATGAATCTATCAAATTCATTTTATAAACATTTAACACAATTCTTAATCGTCATGTTCCTTACAAAAAAACGTGATAAAAAACTCAAACCTAAACCTTGGATCACTAATAGAGATCTGAAGTGACTGAAAATGAGTTGTCTCCACACACATTCTTAAACATACTTCTCATGTTATTAAGGAGCCTCTCTTTACCATATTGAATAATTCTTTTATTAAAGGCCTTTTTCCAGATGTTTTGAAAATAGTTAAAGTCATTTCTATCCATAAAAAAGGTACTCTAATAAACCGCACAAATTATCAACCTATTTCTCTTCTTACATTAGCAAAATATTTGAAAAAGCCATGTACAACAGACTTTATAGTTTTCTTGACAACAATCAATGTCTTTACAAATATCGATATGGATTTCGTAGCTCCACAACTTATGCACTTATTAAAGTAACTGAAACTACTAGAAAAGCTCTTGATAATAAAATTTTGCATGTGGAGTGTTTTTTGAATAGCAGAAAGTCTTTAATTCTGTTGATCACTTTATCCTCCAAAGTAAATTTTAAGGCTATGGTGTTCGAAGTATAGCTCTCTCATGGTTATTATCATATCTTCTTAATAGATTGCAATTTTTCTCCATCAATGATACCAAATCTTTACCAATAAAATGCTCCACAGGTGTACCGCAAAATTCTGTACCAGGACCATTGCTTTTCCATATTTTTATAAATGACCTTCATATCTCTCTAAAATTTTAAACAATTCACCATTTTGTTGACGACAAAACCAAAAACCAAAACTTTAGACTAACTGGCCGCAAACTATTTCCTATAGCTTCATTAAAATATCTTTGATTCAAAATTGACTCAAATCTATCTTTTTCCTCTTATCTTAAAAACTAAGCAGTGAAATTGCGTAGTTAATCTACAATGCTAACTAAATGGGATACTAGCCAAAATTTTTTACAATGTCAATTTATGAAACTTTACTCAATATATACCATGCAATTTTTTAATCACATCTCAATCTCAAAAAGTTTTCGTTATGATCTTTGATCTTTTATTAATTTTAAATCAGGGCCGACGACACGGGTTTTAAAGTGTGTGTGTGTGTGAGGGGGGGGGGCACAACTATCAATTTGTGAAAAAAGCAACATTTTACATAGGGTAAAACCATTAATTCCTGGCCACTTAACTATTTAGTGGCCAGGAATTGGTGGTTTTACCCACCAATTCCTGGCCACTAAATAGTTATTTTTTTTAATCATAGATTATTGTCGCTATTGATGTTCACATTATTTACATTTTATTTACATTTTTATTACCGTCATTATTACTTGCTAATATTGTTTTATATTTATCTGTGATATTTATCATGATCATCATCATTATTATCATTATTATTATTGTTATTATTACTAACAACAATATTACTATTATTACTTATATAGTCATTACTATTCTAATAGTATTATTGTTATTTCTATAATTCTCTTTGTTAAATATTATTAAATGATTGCTATTATTATTTAGTTGATGTTTACTTTAGGTTAGTACCCGTACTATTAGTAAATTACCATGAAATATAAAAACCTTTATTTCAGATTATATATTGTTATTGTTCATACAGATTTTTGTTTTCCTACGCAATTACTTCACGAATTTATGAAGTCATTGCATAGTAAAATATAAACTCAATAATATCGAGTTTTTATTTACATATGCAATATACTTCACATACTCATGAAGTTATGCGTAGCAAAAGAAAAATCTGTGTAAATTTTACTTTGTCTTATGTTTTTAATGTTAATTTAAATGTTATATAACAGAACGTATAATTCAAAAAATTGTCTAAAAAAAATGTTTATTGACTAACTAAAAGAAGCGCTTTAAAGTGTTTTGTTAACTTAATTTTAGTTAAACTTGTTTTTACAAACTCTTTTTTTAAATACCTGCTCTTTTTTTTAGATATGGTATCAAAATAAGCGTATCTTATTGGAAATATATTTAAGCTGAAGCATATTTTTTAGTCTCTTAAACATTTTGCAAGTATATCTAAATCTGTTTTAAAATTTATATACTCATTATTTCAAATCCAGTCGCACTTGGATACGCAAAAATGTTGGTCAGTAATTGACGCTCCTTTGGATTAATCTTTATGAGTATTTGAGGGTGTTTTTATGTTAAGTCAACATTGTAAAGCAAAATATAGCCTGAAATTCAAATTAATGCATAAATATATAAAAAGCATGTATTTGAACCCATTTAAATTTTATCACCAATTAAGAAGTTTAAGTATTTTTCACACGTACTTTTATAACTTCTGTATTTAATAAAGAATTAATATTTTTTACAATGATAATTGCGATTGACAAGGGAAAAGCACGCACACCGAAAGTGTATTAAATAGATTAAACATAGGATCGGATAGAGCTTGAGACCTTTTGATCTAAAGCCACAACACGACCGGTAATATATAATATATCCGTATATAATATTAAATTAAAAATTAATAATGCCAACTTTAATTCAAATGCATTTAGATAGGAAATAAAAGTTTTAAAAGTTTAAAAAAAATTGAACTCAAAGGAACGTGCAAAGATGTGCATTCTTGTTTCATCTGTATATAAGTATTTTACAAGCAAAACTAAAATTGCGTTTAGAATAAAAAATTTTTTAAATGGAAAAAAAAGGTTCGTTTGATTAAGATAAATTCTGATTGGGCTTCTTGTTCAAATATGCGTTGCGAAGATTCAAAGTTTTAAGGTTCTAATGTTTTAATTTCTCTTCGAGGAAGTTTACTTGAGTCGTTTGTATTGTGTTTACAAAATGTTTTATAATAATCTATTATTTTTTCTATCTTGCACAATATCAAGGTTTTACAATTTGAAATCATGTTGTTATGCGATATTCAAAACTTTTTATAACACCATTGCAGATTTGTCTAGTACGCTTGTTATACTCCATTTATTTCGAATCTCCGAAATACATGAATTCATACAAATAAAGTTACACAAAATAAATTTATTTTATAGCCTAGAATAATAAAATATAAGCTATAAAGCTAAATAAGTATTTTGAGATTATTACAATCTTGGTATCATAAATATAAGTATTATTATAAATACAAAAATACCCTTGTTTAGCTTTTAGAATCTAACATAGTTCAGCTGAAAATCGGTAGATTTACAATTATAGTACATTTGTGAAAATATAATAAAGAATAATATGAGTAAAGATGCAAGAGCACAAAAAATTCTTCAAGGGTTTAGACTGTATCTTTTCTAAATTTCAAATTTTTTATTTTCATTTTAACTTTGCATAAAAATAAACAATTAGAAGAACTTTATATATGATAATTATATAAGTGATTTTGTGACATGAGAAAAATTGTTATATATCTTTTTAGATTTTGTTTTTTGAGAAGTCTTATGTTTTTATTAAGAAATTGATGGATAATATAAATGAACACCTAAAGTCACCTAATTTTTTTAATTAGATGAATTTTCTTAACTTCTTTTTATTTTAGTTTCATGGTGTGATTACATTGTGTCTTTGTTAACAGTTTCTGACAGAATCCTTTAGGCACTCAGTTTTTTTGTATAATTAGCCTAGACAATGTAGAATTTTTTTGCCATGGTTATCATTGCCAAGTCATTAGTCAGTTTTGCCATGGTCATTATTTCCAAGCAGTTCTTTTCTGCTTAATTACAATCATGTCCTTATTAGTGTATATTAATATAGTAACATATTCAGCATAGTTAAAGTGTATCAATGCCAGGGTTCTATAAATTTTTGTATTTGAAATTTTTTTATGTGATCTTAAAATGAAAGTTCAAAAAAATTCTTAACTTATTTGATTAAGTAATTGGATGAATTTAAGAGATGCTGAAAGTGGAAAAATTATGTGGCAGGGTACAGAAGATCTGTTAGTGTTTATTTTTTTGAATTTCTATTAGTTTGTATTTAATAAACATACTTTTTAAAAATTTACTTGATTCATTTCTTAAACAAGATTTTTTTAAATCTTAAATTAGATCAGAAGAAGGATGTGAACATGAAGGTTAGATCTTTAAATTAATTTTTTAGAAAATCACACAAACACACACACAGATATATATATATATATATATATATATATATATATATATATATATATATATATATATATAAATTAGTAGAAAATCACTTAGCAAAATTTTTTCTCATTTAACACTGTGTTTCATCAATAAAGACTCATCAGAAATGAATGATCAAATTAATAAAACTTCAATTTATACCAAAAATTAAATTACAGGAAGTCACATGTCTTAACTACTGCAATTTTTCACACATTTGTATAATTTGCTGACACTATTGTAAAAAGAATTCTGTAGAAATGATTACTTGTGCTTTTTTAAAAAATAATATATTTTTTTCAAAGGGGAGTTAATGTAACTATTATTTGAGCTCACTTGTTTTTATAGTTTTTTAGGAGAAACTTATTTTCGTGCCTGCATTTAGAAATCAATTCCGATGTAAAAAACAAATTGCTCCTATAAAATAAAAATAATTTATCATTTTTTCTTTTTACAAATTTTTTTTTGTGATGTTAAGAAAAATAATACAAATAAATTTGTTTTGCTGTATTTTAAAAAAATACTACAGTAGAAAAATGCAGCTTAGTTTAATTACACTTAATTACAATTAAACGCACTTCAAAGGAATTGCCAAAGTCTGTAGATTGCGACGCATAATTTGAAGACTCCGAGTGGTTGAAAAAAATGGAGAAGACGAGCTTCGGTAAAAACAACAACATTTGTTTCTCACGGTATGCATTCATTATTTTTTTTTATCAAAAAAATTTGGTTCAAACCTTTTTTTTTAACATTATCTTTAGTATGAACACAACATGTGTTAGGAGTTTAAGATCCCTTTAACCAAAACTCCTCTAATGAAAATGTATTCAATTCCTCCAAACAGATATTTGAAGATGCCCTTAAAAAAAGTGGTTTTGAAAACTTCGAATTAAAATTTGACCCTGAAAACAAGAATACAAAAAAGCAAAATAGAACTAGAAATGTAATTTGGTTCAACCCCATATATAGCAAAAATGTTTCCACAAACATAGAAAAAGTGTTTTTAAAATTGATCGATAAGCATTTCCCGCCCTCTAATAAATTACATAAAATTTTGAATCGAAATACTATTAAAGTTAGCTACAGTTGCACAAAAAATATGGAAAGAATTATAAAAGGTCACAACAATGCTTTGTTAAACAATAAAGAAATTCAAAATGAAAAAACTACAGAAAAATGTAATTGTAAACAAAAAAACAATTGTCCAATGAGTGGAAGTTGCTTCTCAAAAAATGTGGTATATAAATGTGTTGTCTCCTCTAAGAATGTACCTGATAAACAAAATATTGGCATAACGGAAGGTGAATGGAAAAACGTTTTGCCAATCATAAGCAATCTTTTAAAAATAAAAAGTATTCAAAAGACACCATGCTGTCAAAATATATATGGGAATTAAAAGATAAAAATATTGATGATTTTACACTGAATTGGTCCATCCTTAAAACAGTGCCTGCATATAACAATATTTCCAAAAAATGCATACTATGTCTACAAGAAAAATTTGAAATAATTACACATACAAACCAAGAATGTTTATTAAACAAAAAATTGGAATTGATTTCTAAATGCAGGCATGAAAATAAGTTTCTCCTAAAAAACTATAAAAATAAGTGAGCTCAAATAATAGTTACATTAACTTCCCTTTGAAAAAAAAGTATTATTTTTTAAAAAAGCATAAGTAATCATTTCTAAAGAATTCTTTTTACAATAGTGTCAGCAAATTACACAAATGTGTGAAAAATTGCAGTAGTTAAGACATGTGACTTCCTGTAATTTAATTTTTGGTATAAATTGAAGTTTTATTAATTTGATCATTAATTTCTGATGAGTCTTTATTGATGAAACACAGTGTTAAATGAGAAAAAATTTTGCAAAGTGATTTTCTACTAATTTGCAATTGCTCTGTTCATTTAAGAACATTGAGCACTCTTTTTGTAGAATACATTTTAAATTGTTTAAATATATATGTATATATATATATATATATATATATATATATATATATATATATATATATATATATATATATATGTATATATATATATATATATATATATATATATATATATATATATATATATATATATATATATATATATATATATATATATATATATATATATATATATATATATATATATATATAAGAGAGAGAGTTTAAATCATTACAAAATAAAAAGAGGATGCTTCTAGATATTTATTCTCATCCAGATGTTAATTTTCAAATCTCAAATAATTAACACAATATATTATAACCCCAAATCGGCAAATATAATGCAAGAAATAAGTGTAAATTCATTTTCAATGTAACATTTAATTATTAGGAGTATTTCAAAATATTTTGAATTTTTTAAACTTGATTAAATGTAATTTTAAAATGTTCAGTCTCAGAGAAACATGATGTAATGGTGTAATGAATAACCAAATTAATTATGTTGGCTCAAAAGAGCTATAATTATACTAGTCTATAACAAATTGCATAAAGTATATATAGTATAATACAATAATTATATGTATGCATAAATATATTGATATGAAATATATCACATTAACATAACATTCACCCTCCCTTTAAAAGTGTTCAGGTGTATTTACATGTTAAGTTTTTCTGTTTCTTTTAAAATTTGTGAAGATCTATGAGGAAGAATGTCTATTTCTTTTTAGAAATCAGATTGTTTTCTTGTTTCTTTTTGGAGGTTAAAGGAGTTTCATTGCTACTATTAGGGGTTCGAGAATAGTTACCGATGGCTGTTATTTCTAAATTGTTGTTTAATGTTTGTATTATAGGTCTTGTTCCAATTGGTGCCAGCTGTTAAGTAGACAGTAGTTTCATGACCACTAGGAAATCTCACATAAGCATAATGAGGATTTGCTTCAATGAGCTGAACCTCGTTTACTGAATCTTCATATTTACTATGCATTGCATTTCTTTTTATAAGTACAGGTCCTGGGTTAACAATGGAATTATGGACCCAAATGTCGATCTTCGTTGAAAATTGAAAAGACGTTCATGTGGACTACAATTAGCGGAAGTACATTATAGAGATCTTGTGGCATAGTGTGCATCAGGTAAAACACTTTTCCATAATGATATAGGCAGATTGCAAGATTTCAGAGTGAGTAAAATTGACCTCCAATTATAGAATTATAGAAAGCTAGTTATAGAATAGTTAATTATTGTCTGAGTTGAGAATTATTGTCTGAAAACAAGAGTATTTGTCTTCAATTGTTAGCATATATTGTTCAGGGGTTAAAGAAGGTAATTGACCTTTAAAGTCAATAGATATACATTCCAATGGCTGAGTTGCTTTAATTAAGTGCACATCATTTGGGCGATAGTACTTGGGTATTATTTCTTTACATATTCTACAATCTCTGCATATTTGTTTTACATCATCTACTGAATAAGAGAGGTTTCTTGATCAAATAAAATGATGAAGGCCAATAACATCAGGATGGCAAAGTGCAGGATGCAAATCGTATAATGATTCTGAACTTATTGCACCATGCCTTTGACACGTTTTGTCTATACTAAACGAATAAAAAACATAACTAAACATTTAAAAAAGATTATAAAATATGTTAATATTTGATTTTTTTTTCTAAAATATGTAATTTAAAGTTTTTCAAATAATTATTTTTTCTTTTTAAAAAGTCAGCGAGTAATAAACTGGAAATTTTAATATTGTACGATTAAAAACTGTGCAATAGCTAATATTTTTACCAGAGATTTTATATAATATTTATCTATTTTTATTTATTTTCATAAAGTAGTTGGTAAGCACAATCACTCGTATTACTAAAAACTTTAATGAACTTTTTGAATAGATTTTTAATGTTTACATTAAAAATCTATTCAAAAGGAAGTTTATTTCTAGTAAAATAAAATAAAATGTTAGAATAAAAATCTTATAGTAATAAAAGACATATTTCAGCGAAAAAATTTGCATATTGAACAATATTTCATAAAAGGTGCGCTAAAATAAAAAAAATAAAACATTACGTGGTTAAATATGAGAACTAATTTTTTTTTTTTTTTTTTTTATGTTTATTGAGCCTTTTTCAAGGTATTTGTGGAAATTCGCTTTACATCGGTAGAAACCGGGTAACAAAACCAGATTATATAAACTTATCAAACTATTGACGTTCTATTTTTCAGCAGCTGTTCTTGAGCACGCTTTGTTGAGTTTCGGTAACTTTTAACAAATAAGCGATTGTTATTATTTAAAGGGATCCCAAACTCCCAACACATGTTGTGTTCATATTAAAGATAATGTTAAAAAAAAAGGTTTGAACCAAATTTTTTTGATTAAAAATAAATAATGAATGCATATTGTGAAAAACAAATGTTGTTGTTTTTGCCGAAGCTCGTCTTCTCCATTTTTTTCAGCCACTCCGAGTCTTCAAATTATGCGTCGCAATCTACAGACTTTATTTTACAGATTTTATTTTATAGGAGCAACTTGTTTTTTTAGGTAAAAAACAAGTTGCTCCTATAAAATAAAAATAATATATCATTTTTTCTTTTTACAAATTTTTTTTTGCGATATTTAGAAAAATAATACAAATAAATTTGTTTTGCTGTATGTTAAAAAAATACTACAGTAGAAAAACGCAGCTTAGTTTAATTACACTTTTCTTTTGTTATAAGTCTACTGTGATGTCAAATACTAAAACTTTTATGAATTAAACGCGCTTCAAAGGAATTGCCAAAGTCTGTAGATTGCATAATTTGAAGACTCCAAGTGGTTGATAAAAATAGAGAAGATAAGCTTCGGCAAAAACAACAACATTTGTTTCTCACGGTATGCATTCATTATTTATTTTTAATCAAAAAAATTTGGTTCTAACTCTTTTTTTTAACATTATCTTTAATATGAATACAACATGTGTTGGGAGTTTGGGATCCCTTTAAGTAATTTTTTTTGAGTAACTTTTTACAAATATTTTAATAACTTTACTTTTTTATTGAATCAAGTAGAATACGTTTTAATATTAATCCTTTTATTTATTTTTTATTTGTGCTTACTAATTTTTAAAATGTTTCCTTGAAAATACTCTTAAATACTTTAAATATGTCTAACAGTTAATAAAAATTTTTAAATCTATGGAATAATTTTAAAACCTAACAAACCCCCATAAAATAATTTTTAAAATTTAAAGTTAAAAATCTAAAACTAAAAGAAAGTATTTTAATTCAATTTTATTGACAACTTTGCTATTGCTGAATAATTTTATTAAAATGTTAGCTTAAAAAGGTTTAAACTTTTTTTTTTAATCTGAATTTCTTCTACTTGTAAATAATGAGCATATTTAATTTTTTTGTAATTCAAACTTTTATATCAACTGCATGCGGTTTTTAAAATACTTTATTAAATGTTAAAATAATCCTAAATTACTCCATTAAAATTCTGCTCAAAAATATCTTTAAATATACTCAAACAAAAAATTTTTTGCTCAGCGCAAATAGCTCTAGCTACACGCAAAATCGCTCTTGGACAACATAAAATTCACATCGCCCGACGCTTTATCGCAAGGCCTGCATATTGTCTAGGTCCTAAGTTTTAGAATGCTTTATTAAATAACTAAAAAATTGTTCTTCTCTTTCTCTATTGAAACAAAAACTTATTAATGATGTTAACAAATTAAACTCTTTTTTTTTTTTCTTCTTTTTTACTTTAATTTTTATTTATAGTGTTATTATTTTTTTAACAACTATCTTATAAACTTGTGTCTAAATTCTATAAAACAATGTTTGGCTTATCACTATGGGGCATAATGATAAGGCAAATATCGGTTCAACTACATTTGTTATGTTTTTTTCAGACCTTTTTAGAAAGAGTATCATTAGAAAAACCAGCCCAAATATGACAACAGTCATAATTAACATTAACAGTCATACATGGACAAATAAGAAACTTGTATTGCTAGAGAATGGAATCAGGAGTAAGAAAATGCGAGCACGATAACCTTGAAGAATGAAACCATCACAGATGTAAACTTTTGAATCAATTGTATATATAGTTTTCATGAGAGGTCAGTAATGAATAATAATCCAAGCAGATGTAAATAGGACTCAGTGAAAAGGTTGCTAATTATCAATATAGGGATGTCAACAATATTGTGAGTTAAAATTTACAAGCCACTGCAAGTCCCAAGCTGTTACAGATAAAAGATCAGCCTGCCTGTTCTAAGCAATAAAAAAAAGAAGACTTTTTGTCAAGTCAGAAGTAAAAAGATGAGTCCTCAGCAAATAGAGACAATAAAAATAAGGTTTTTAAAAGGTTATTTAATGTAGATAAGAAAAAATACATGACCAAGGATAGAACTCAGAGGTTTTATGTCTATTTCCAGTAGACAGGGAAACAAGATTCAACCAAGCACAATTCATTTAAAGATAATTTAAGAGAGTTTTGGAGAACACTTTTGTAAGACTATGACCAGAATGTTGTCTGGACCACAAGCTGTAGAGGAGTTTTATTGAGAAATTACTTAAGCAACAGAAGCTGGAGTGTTTTGGATGTCTAGGTTGAGAAAGTTTGAGAAATACAGAAGTTATGAGCTTTATAATCAGCAGGGTCAGTGCACAATGGGGGATGGTTACACACAAAAGGATGGCAAAAATTATTTTCCTAATACCTGCAAAAGTTATGTAAGTTATTTTTTTCAAAAATAAAGTATGTATGTTCAAAATTACACATAATTTTGATCTGTAGTTACAGAGAAACTTTTTAGCATTGACGCTACAAATAAGATTTGTTTCATGGGGGAGGGTTTGGTTCCAAAATATTGGTTAAAGTTAGGGATATATATATAAATATATATATATATATATATATATATATATATATATATATATATATATATATATATATATATATATGTATATATATATATATATATATATATATATATATATATATATATATATATATATATATATATACATATATATATATATATATATCAATGAATATGATTAACTATTACAGATAAATAATATATAAATTTTTAAAGAAGTTGTTTTTAGAATTTTTACCTGGCTTAATTTGGCTCATTTTTGTTGTGTTTTCTTCTGTTCAAGACTTGAAATTGAAGTTAGCATGGATTTATATTTCAATTTACTTTTAGTATGAATAAAATCTCTTACTAAACAATCATCTTTTATGATACCAGCCCAGGGTCCCTGAGATATTTTAATGTAACTCACAGGGGTTTGAATAGGTGTTGGACATTATTGCCCCTCAAACCGTTCTTGGGACATGTTAGAGGAGGGCAATTAATCATTGTTCATTTTTTTTTGAAAGAAAAATGAACAATGGTGGGTTACCTCTCTTTAACAGGTCTCAAAAACATTCAGTATTCATGTACTCGACCCATGTACTCTGCATAATTTTATTTTCAATAGATTCTCATCCAGTTTTTGTTTCGTCTTAGCTATTGTGATTAACTTTCCTTTGATCTATTTTTCTTTTTGTTTAAATATTAAGATGAAAGTTGTTTTATTGAAAGGTAAAAATTAGTTTCAATTTGTTTGATTTTTTTTTTTTTTTTTTTTTTTTGCTACAATTGTCTTCTTCTTTGGTCATCTGTTCTTGTCAAAAGTGCATAGATGCTTTTTATAAAGAAATATTTAAACTTTTTATGGTTATATTCTGATTTTAATCTGTTTTAAAAATCTTTATTACAGCTCGTGTACCTAAAAAAATTTTGAAGTGCAAAGCTGTTTCTCGTGAAATCAACTTTTCTTCTAAAGAGCAGCTAAATAAGTTTAAACTAGAGCAAAGGGTTTTATTTAAAGGAAAGTGTTTAGAAGGTAGGTGGTATATATTTTTCCTGTTTTATTTAGGCTAGCTGTTAAGACCCAGAATAGAAGTCATTATAGATAGTGGTATTAATAGGTTTGTAAATAGGCTACCCAGAAGTTTCTTGGAGATTCTTATATTAATAATCCCATACTGTAGTATACATACCTTTAGTAAGTAAAACATCAAAATCATTTTATTAATGGGCAAGATTTTGCAAGTTCTCATAAAAATATAACAATCATTATTAAAGAATATTGCAATATTTTATAGAGCAATTTTTTAAAATTATCAAAACTTGGAAAAAATACACTAATTGCAAACACAATAAACTATCACACAAATTAGTGATGCTATAACAATTAACAGTACAAAAAAATCTCGTAAAGATCTTATATATTGTAAATTAATAAAGCACACAATTTTGTAATTCCAAGGTACTATGTTCAAAAAAACTACTAAATCTTATTGTAACCTTATAGATGAAGTTCTATGAACATCACTAACGACCTAAGTAGTAATTTGTTATGGGCATAAAGGTTTATAAAACTAACAACATGAGCAATAACACAACTAACTGTAAATTTTGATCTTATAAACTTGTCAGTAAACTGTATTGTAGTTATAATTTTTTCCAATTTATAACATGAACAAAATAGTTTTAGTGCAATAGTTTAATATTTGTTGTAGTGTAATAACCCTTATTTCCTGACTGCTGACATGATTAAAAAAGTAAATTTCAAATCATAAAAATATACAAATTTAAAGCTATGTTTCTACAGTATGCAAACTAATAAAGCAGTAACAAAGGTAGACCTAAAAAATTATTATAACAAAAAATTTTTTTTTTTGAATTCACGACTATTTTAAAAATTTTAACGAATTCATAAACTATTTTAAAAATTTTAAATATTCATATTGAAAAAAGTTTTGGCGTAATGTAATTGCTTAACACGAGGTGAAATTGCTGTTTCATACTTTTAATTCACATGACACAACACTTTTTAACAAGCCTATATATATATATATATATATATATATATATATATATATATATATATATATATATATATATATATATATATATATATATATATATATATATATATATATATATATATATATATATATATATATATATATATATATATATATATATATATATATATATATATATATATATATATATATATATATATATATATATATATATATATATATATATATATATATATATATATATATATAAAACAACTTTGTGAAGCTGTTTTGTTGCTGTTTTATACAGTTTATAACCTTAATAACATAAAATGTGTTTAAAATAATACGAAGCAAATAAGTAAAATAATTTTAATTAATAAACTAAAACATTATCGTCATAAAACTTCATATTTGTGCAAAAACATTCATATAGACCATATGAGTCTATAATCTATAGACCAACCAAGTAAGATCAAAGCAAAAAAGCATTAGATACCACGTTTTTTATTATTTATTATTTCTAAAGTATAAATAACTTTTTCATTCAAATGGTTTTTAAATTGATGTTTTCATTAAATTTTTTTTCTTTTTCAATAAAAAGTGAAACAAAATTTGGTTTAATAAATTCAATTATATTTCCTTAAGTTTAATAATATGCTTCAATTATTTTTTTAGAAAAAAATTTCTTTAAACAGAAGTGAAATAATTTATTAATTTTAATTTTAATTTTTTATAGTTTAATTTTTATTTTAACTTTTGAAATCACTGGTTTAATGTTTGCAATAGAGTGTTTCTACTTTTAAAACTATTTTCAAGGTAATATAATTAACTATTTTAAATGTTTACAAAATTTAGGATTTACGAAAAAAAAATTTCCTCCTCATTCTCCCTTGTTTGTTTAAATTTTTTTCAATTTCAAATTTCAATCACAAAATTATTCGAATAAGTGAATTTTAAGACTAAAGTTCTTTTTTTCAAATAGATTTCTTTTTAAATAAAGTTCCTATAAACAACTTGCGTATTTTTAGAAAATGTTTTATCCTTATATCGCTTTAACTAAAATGAAAATATAAAAAAATGATGTTGCATTTTTCATATTCTATTTGACAATTTTTGTAAAAATAGTTTTTAGTTAGAAGCTTATATTATGTGTTAACAACATATAAGATATAACTAGAAACATTTGTATGGCTAGCTTTTGCGAGTCTTTAAGTATATTAAGTAAATTAATATAATAGTTATTATATATAAGTTTATATTTGTAATTGAAAATTACTGTAATAACTTAACTGGTTGTTTTGATTTAGTTTATAAGTAAGTTTACTGTGAAGTACTTTATCCATTCAGTAAATCAAAGTAAATATAACCTTAAAAGGTTCAAGGTCGTTAAAGCAAAAAACATTGAAGTAAAAAAGTTGCTGGTATCTATTAGCATTGGTTAACTATTAGAAAATTTTTTTAAGAAAAATAAATTAATGTATATTTTAACATACTTAAAAAATTCCACTTAATGTTTTTCCCTTTTCAACTTTTCGATTTAGAAACCCTTTAAAATATTATTGGCTTCCACGCAGAGATTTAAAGTAATTTAAATTCAAAAGTGCTTTAAGTTGAATGAAAATCTCAGCGCGAAAGAGTAAATGATTATGCTTCAAATGATAAATTTAGCATGACATACTTTATGACAAAAACATTATTTTTAAAAATTGCCAAAAAAATGCTAAATTAGAAAAAAAGTAAATAAACAACCAAAAAAAAAAGAAATATTTTTTCAATAAAAAAACGCAAGTGCGATATGCTTAATTCAAGCCCTGTATGTATGTATATATATATATATATATATATATATATATATATATATATATATATATATATATATATATATATATATATATATATACATATATATATATATATATATATATATATATATATATATATATATAAATAAAAATAGATATTTATGTATAAAAATTATACTATTTTCAGGATTATGTATAAAATTTTATTATTTTCAGGACTTTGCATAAGAGGTGTGCGATCGCACCCCTTATATGACCATGCATATAATATATATATATATATATATATATATATATATATATATATATATATATATATATATATATATATATATATATATATATATATATATATATATATATATATATATATATATGTATATATATATATATGTATATATATATATATATATATATATATATATATATATATATATATATATATATATATATATATATATGACCTTATATGACCAGGCATATAATATAATATATATATATATATATATATATATATATATATATATATATATATATATATATATATATATATATATATATATATATATATGACCTTATATGACCAGGCATATAATATAATATATATATATATATATATATATATATATATATATATATATATATATATATATATATATATATATATATATATATATATATATATATATATATATATATTTCAGCAAAATTTAAATTTTTTTTTCAAAACTTTAAAAAGTGTTTAAAATATGCAAACAAATGTTACTTCACTTTAAACGAACCCCTAAGTGCCAAATCAAGTTGTGTTCATATCATAGACAAACATTAGAAAATAAGTTAAAAGTTAATTAAACTTTCCAAAACAAGTAATTGAATGAGATATTAACAAAAGCATATGTTGTTTTGCCATTATACTTCCGGTTGAGAGCCTAATTTTAGGCTCTCAAATCTGCATAGTTTTTTCCATTAAAAAAACATCTGGTTTCAATAATAAATGTTTTCGCTCACTGCAGAGTTTTTTAAACTCAGTTCAGTTTTACACAATCAGATTGCGTTTTCCCCTTCATATTTAGTCTGTGGTGGTTGTTTGCTGTAGCATGTTTTTATTTTTTGTTCAACGTATCGTTAAGTGTTTGAGTTAAATAAACTAGCATAATAAAAATAGTAATTTAGGCGAAGCAAACTTTAAAATAGACAAGATGAATATTTTTCTTAGAAAATAAGTAATTAATTTTTTTAAATACACTACTAAGTACAATATAATCCAACATGGTTAAATTTTGAAAGACCTTTATTTTTTAATAAATTGAGAAAACTGTTTTAAAAATGATTTTATATGTATTTTTAACTTATGCTTTTAATAATTTAAATTTCTAATTCAAGAAAACTGCCTAAGGTGAAACCCCTGCAGTTTAAGTTTTTTGAAAGAAACTTTTTGTATTGATGTCTAATATAAGCGCATTAATCAGACCTGCTTTGAAAAATAAAAATAGTCAAATAGCCAAAACTTTCCTTTGTCAGAAACATAATGGCGTTAAAAATTAAAAAGTTTTTCTTAATATCTCAATCAATAATTTGTTTTGAAAAGTTTAACTTCAAACTTATTTTCTAATGTTTATCTATGATATGAATTCAACTTGTCTCGGCACCTAAGGATCCCCTTAAAAAAAATGAGAAAATTAAAAAAAAAAAAAAAACAAGAATGCAAAATTTTATTTAAAATGAATGCATTTAAACTTTTAATATAGTTGCTAATTACTTAAAAGAAACCTTGCTTAAACATTATGATTGCTTTCTTCAATAAAAGAAAGCAAATGTAATATTTAAGCCTGATTTCTTGTAAAATAATTGCAAATCCATTCATTTTAAGTAAAATTTTTCATGCTTTTGTTACGCAAAAACCATGCTAAAACATAACCACTTTCTTTGATAGCCTAATTAGTTATTTTACTTAAAAGCAACACTATTGAAGAAAGTAATCATGTTTTGGGATGGTTTTTTTCCAAAATTAATTGTTTTTTTATTTTAAATGTGTTTTTTATAATAAATAAAAACTATCAATTGCAAAATTATTTGGAAAAAAATTGCTGAAGTAATGCATTCGTTTTGAAAATTTTTAATCAAACGCCAACATTTTCATAAGCAAAATTAAAAAAGGGTGACATCCGTTTTTCTATCTTTTTTAACAAGCTTGAGCATGTTTTTCAATTAGTCGCACCCTTTATCCTATTAACTTTTTAGTAAAAGTTAAAATTTGCACCATAAAATATTATTAAATTTCATGGCACTTTTAAACAGTCTAATTACGTTTTTAAACAGTCTAATTACCTTTGTGCTGTATTAAATTATTTATTCCTTTGTGCTGTATTAAATTATTTATTCCTGGGAAGGAATGATAAAGATTAATAGAGCTGTAACAAATTTTTTTTTTAATTTTTGTTTATAGTTAAGTTTAATAATGAATGTTTTAATTTTTTCTAGTTTTTCTTTTATTTATTTTGTTTTAGTTTAATTTTTATATTATTATTATTTAGTGGTCATATATGCGACCGCAGGTGTCTTATGCTAAAGTCTATAATTTACATCTGATTTGTTTTAAACTTTTTATAGCAATTTGATTTAAATTTTTGTTTATTATCAAAACTTGCATTTTAATGTGGAGTCTGTGTTTTATCTTAGTTATCGTCTGACCTATTTTACATTTTTTACAACTAATTTATTTCAGAGTCTGAATTAGCCTGTTTAGCAGCCACAAATCCATGATTACAGTTCCAACGAATTATAAAAAAGATCCAGATCCAGTCTTCTCCGTTTGACAAGCACTTTCACACTCTTGCAGTTTTGCTCTCGCCAATACGCCCACCAATACTACGGCTGGCGCTTTTTTAAGCGCTTGCCAAAAAATTTCTAGCGTGTTTTTAAATTGCAAAAAATCTTTTTTCTTAATCAAAGTCTAATTAAAGAGTTACAAAAAACAAATATTTGCATGTCAGACAAATAATTACTGTCCATCCAGGGCTTTTTTGTGTGCTGGCGGTAAATTTCAATTGTAGAAGACTGCAGATCCATTGTTTGAATCCTAAGATCTTAAAAATGAACCTGAATACAAGATACATTTCCAACATTTTTATTATAATCAACCCTTGGAGTTAGTAAAAATGAGGTTAGCAATAATTTACCAACCTCAATCTCTCAGAGGTCCGCATCATGTTGGCAAAAAGAAATTTGATACGAAGATCTTACCATAAGACTTAGAAACGAGGTCCGCAATTTTTACTGACCTCAAACACTTTAAGGTCGGGAGTTAGTTTGGCATTGCCGATAGTCAACTTTAATTTTGAGGGCTGTATAATGGAATATTCTGTTTTGAACATTCGCTCATGTATAATAATATTTTGTAGTTGTAGTATATATCTTAAGTAGTGACACAAAAGCTCAAGTCAGACTAAAACAAAAAAGGTGAAGTGTGCTATAAAAGGAGTGGCAAAAATAATTTTTTTGAATACACTCTTGAATAAAAATTTTTGATGTCAATGTTGATGGCTTTACAAAAGCTCTCATTTATTTTTCTGCAACTTCAAATTGCTGTTCATGAAAGCAATGTTTTGTCATATTTATCTACAAGTTTGTATATATACTTGTTGCTTACACCACGAAAAATTCAAGTATAATATTTGTCTCCGAAAAGTTATATATTAAAACTATAGTCACATTTTATTTAAGTCTTGTTGCCCATCAAAATGCAGCCATTTAAATTTATCAAAACATGAGTGTAATGTTTTCGTGCTTGTGTTTTGGCTGTGGAATTTTTGTTTTTCAAAATATTTGGGTCTTAATTGCTTGGAAAGAATTGTAATTATTGTATTTATTCTCTTTCTTTACTAAAAAAGAAACTGCATTTTTCAGTTCTTTTTTTATTAGACAAGCCTGAATTTCTTTCAGAAGAACAATAAATCATATTTACAACTGATTTATTGTTAAAAACATTTTTTATATTTTGAAAATCTTTCTATCAAATAAATTACAGTTTTATTAGTTGATTTGCTAATTCATAACTTTTATTAGTGGCTTGATTTGCCAATTCATAACTTTTATTAGTGGCTTGATTTGCCAATTCATAACTTTTATTAGTTGCTTGATTTACCAATTCATAACTTTTATTAGTGGCTTGATTTGCCAATTCATAACTTTTATTAGTTGCTTGATTTACCAATTCATAACTTTTATTAGTGGCTTGATTTGGCAATTCATAACTTTTATTAGTGGCTTGATTTGCCAATTCATAACTTTTATTTGTTGCTTGATTTACCAATTCATAACTTTTAAAGTTTGAAAGATTCTTCTGTTAACTCTCAATTAGTTATTATTGTTAACCCAGATAAAATCATTAATTAATAATGATGATGCTAAGTCTGCACATATCGATTCTAATAGCCATTTAATACTCTTGATCTAAATAGAACAGATTTCATTTTTTAAGGATAGTCTTCTGTGAACCTTATTGAGACCAATATTCTGTGAGCTTTTTTTTTGTTGACTTTCTTGAGTTGCATATATATTTTTTTAAATTACTATTTCTCCAGATTACAATACCATACATTAAACAATTTCTGGTAAAAACATTTTATAAAGTAGCTTTAGACTCACTTTAGGTAGGTTTAGACTTACTTTAGGTAGGTTTAGACTCATTTTAGGTAGGCAGATGCTTTTACTAAAATTAGCTAGATGCTTTTACTTTTTTTGACACTTGTACTATATGGCTATACCATTATATTTTATTGTCCATACCCAGAATGCTAAAGCTTTTTTTTATAATTTTCTCCACATAGTAAAAGTAATAGGGCGCAAGGTTACTCCAAGAGTAACCTTGCACCCTTGTAACTTTACTTCTGCATTTTTTGCACTACCAAATAATCTTGCAATTTTACTTCTGCATATTTTGCGCTATTATTATTTTTGTCTTTTCAAAACAAATTGATTGACCATTTGGTTAAAGCTAATTACTGATTTTTTCTGACTTGGTATAACATTTTCTGTAACTATTCAAATGAATTGGTCTTCGTCGGTCATCAGCAAAATCGATAATGTAAAGTTGCAGAGTAGATTATAATTATAAACTTTGAAAATTTTTAGGGCCATTCATATTCTTTGATCCACCTCTTTATTTTTGCAATGATTCCATTATAAAGATTTTTTTTTGGTGTAAAAAAGCTTTTTTAGATATTTTTGACAATGGCAATACACTTATCAACCTCTAATTCTCCATAATGGTTTTAATCCTTTTTTTATATTCAGGATTTATCATAGCTAGTAATGTCTTGTGGAAACATCCAGTACTAATAGAATCATTTATCAATTTTTTTTAAAGCAACTGCAATCTGATAAGCAATGTTTAATTAGCTGCAACCTGATAAGCAATGTTTAGTTAACTGCAACCTGATAAGCAATGTTTAATTAACTGCAACCTGTTAAGCAATGTTTAATTAACTTGTTACTTATTAGATCAAAACCACAATTGCTTTTTGGTGCTAGACTGTTAACAATTTGAATAATTGACTTATTAGTTATTAATTTCAATTCCAAATAAAATTGTGGAATTGATAATGTAATAAGATTTTAAGTGTTTTCTTAAGTTCTTTATAGCATTAAAATCGAGAATTTAAACATTAACCATTATTAAATTTTTATACTTAAATTTGTACACAATTTTTGTACAAATTTAAGTATAACAATTAAAACATCTTTTTCTGCTATATAAGAACCTAGATATATAGAAACCTCACAATATGTGGCTTCATAAAAATAAAGTTTGATCAGCCCTAATGACTAAAAATTAGACAATGAAGATAAAGCCAAGTTAAAAAAAACAAACATCTTTTTCTATCATTAACGTTCATAGCTTTATGTTTTTTTCTCTGGAATATCTAGATAAAAAAATTTATTTTGTTTGAATTTAGATATATATTCAATTCTTTATTGAATCTGTTTCTTCCAGATTTGAGTACAACTAAATACAAGCAGGTCTTGAGAGTGTTTGGATCTAGACCCTGGTTTATTATTATTTGCATAAGTTATATTTACTTTTAAGTGCAAAAATTTTTACTATTTGTATTTTTAGAATGGTTTTTCGACTTTGGTTTTGTAATACCTGACTCAACTAACACTTGGCAATCGTTGATTGAAGCTGCCCCTTCTAATCAGATGATGCCTGCTAATGTTTTAAGGTATCCACTTATATTTTTATCAATGATGATAATTAACTATATAAATCTGTGGTTTTCTATATCACTCAAAATAGTTAATCTATATACTCAAAATAGTTAATATGTAATCATAAAAATACATAAAATAATAACATATAGTAAAATAATCTATTTCACATAATAGAAATTAAATTGATTTTTTTGATTTCTATCAAAAATGAAACATTTTAAAGCAAAGATTATTTAAAAAAAAAGAGTTTTAACCGAGTTTTTAAAAAATAGTAGATCATACAATATAAAAATTAGGGAAATTAATCAGCAATTTTTCAATTTCAAGATTAATTTAACAGTTGTTAAGTAGTCACAAAGTCTGTTATTAAAGCTTTGTATTTTATGTTTTCTAATAATCTTCATAAAGATATTTTAAAATTATTTTTATGAAGTCAAAACTTTGTTTTGTTAAGTAGTTTATCGATACGTATTATTTTTAAAATTAAGTTAGGCATCTATTAGGCTGGCGCAGATGTATTTTTAATACATTGTTTCCAGTTTAGGATGTTGAACGCTGGATCTTCTTGACTCAATGCGTGGGTATTGCTTGTGTCTCTGTTTTTATGACTGGGCAACTCATTCTATTATCTCCTAATGAGGGTACAGCTCTAAAACTCAGTTTTATGGTTCTGAGGCCGGCTGGTAGTCAGGTTTCCCGAACTCTGTGGTAGCTCTCAGAGAGGCTGATTCCATCAACAGCCGAAAAATATCAGAGTACTAACAGTGCCATGTTGCGCATGGATGGTGTCCCTGTTTGTACTTTTGGTGTGCATTGCAGAGGCCACATTTGGAGCCCTTTGTTACGGCTTAGGGTTTATTAATAGTAATGAGGCTATTGCTTAGTTGTTAAATAGTGTACTGAGTACTATCTATACTTGAGTCAAGTTCTTTATAAATTTAAAATGACTAAAGTACCTAAAACTAAAAAACACAAAAAACCATTGTCATCACCAAGTTCTCTAAACCTATCATTTACTAATATTCGTGGTCTTCGAAGTAATTTTTCTTCTGTTGAGTCTTATCTCTTGCAAAGTTCACCAGACCTACTTGCTCTTTGTGAGACTAATTTGAGTTCGGCTGTCCCATCTTGTGATCTTAGTGTTGATGGTTATCTTCCTTTAATTCGTAAAGACTCCAATAATCACATGCTTGGCCTGGGCATCTACATTCGTAAGAACTCACCCATTTGTCGTGAAACTAGGTTTGAATCTACAGACTATTCATTTATGTGCTTTCGTTTAGCACAACTTCACTCTATCGCCTTTCTCTTTGTTCTATATCGCTCTCCTTCATCCCAAGACTGCACTATTCTTGATGTTATTTCTGATCAAATTGACCAAGCCCTCTCTCTTTATCCATCGGCCAATATCGTCGTTGTTGGTGACTTTAATGCCCATCACACCGATTGGCTTGGCTCTAGTGTCAGTGACTCTGCTGGCGTTAAGGCCCTCAACTTTTGCCTTTCTCAATCTCTAACTCAAATAGTCAACTTTCCAACTCGTTTTCCAGACAACCCTAATCATTTACCTTCTCTACTCGACTTATGTCTTGTTTTGGATCCTAGTCAGTGCTCAATTTCTCCACATTCACCCTTAGGTACTTCTGATCACGGTTTGATCTCTCTAAAACTATTATCAAATTCTTCTACTTCATCAGAATCCCCCTATCATCGTACCACATACAACTACCTTAAAGCTGACTGGGACTCTTTCCGTGATTTTCTTCGTGATGGCCCTTGGGTAGAAATCTTTCGTCTTCCTGCTGACAAATGTGCTTCTTACATAACTTCGTGGATTCAGGCTGGCATGGAATCTTTTATTCCCTCTCGACGATTCCAGGTCAAACCTCACTCTTCTCCTTGGTTTTCCTCACATTGCGCTGCAGCAATTTCTAATCGAAACCGTTACTTCCATATCTATCAGCAAAACAATTCTCCAGAAAACAGACATCTGTTCACTATCGCCAGAAACCATTGTAAAAAGGTTTTGTCTGACGCCAAAGCTCGCTATTCCCAGGTCATTAAATCTCGTATCTCATCACAAAAATTAGGCTCTCGAGACTTCTGGAGAATCTTTAACAGTATCAATAATAAGGGCAAATCTGTTATTCCTTCTCTCTTGTATGGTTCAGACTTTGTCACCTCACCTAAAGACAAAGCTGAATTGTTTGCTAAGAACTTTTCATCAATATCATCTCTTGATTCCACTAGTTGCGTTTTACCTGACATAGCCGTCAAACAGGTTGATCCCTTGCTTGACATTCGCATCACTTCAGCTTCTGTATCTAAAGTAATTTCCTGCTTAGACTCTTCAACAGCTTGTGGTCCTGACAACATTCCTGTTGTAGTTTTGCAGAGGTGTTCTCCGGAGCTTTCATCCATACTTTCTAAACTATTTAACAAGTGCTTATCAGAGTCTTGTTTTCCATCATGCTGGAAAGCAGCATCTGTTATCCCTATTTTCAAAAATTCCGGAGAGCGATCTGATTCATCTAACTACCGTCCCATTAGTCTTCTTCCTGTCATAAGCAAGGTTTTTGAATCTTTAATCAACAAACACTTAATCTCTCATCTTGAATCAAATAACTTACTTTCTGATCATCAATATGGATTTCGGTCTTCTCGTTCTACAGCTGATGTGCTAACAGTAATAACCGATAGGTTTTACCGTGCATTAGATAGAGGTGGAGAGGTTAAGGCTATCGCACTTGACATTTCTAAAGCTTTTGATAAAGTTTGGCATGCTGGTCTTCTCCATAAGCTTTCTTCTTATGGTGTAGCTGGTAACGTCTTTAAGATTATTGAGTCCTTTCTTTCCAATCGTAGTATAAAAGTTGTCCTCGATGGACAACACTCTTCTTCACATCCTGTAACTTCAGGGGTTCCTCAAGGTTCAATCCTTGGCCCTATACTCTTTTTAATTTACATTAACGATCTTCCAGATATTCTCACGTCTAAGGTGGCATTATTCGCTGACGACACTACCATTTACTCTTGTCATGATAAGAAGCCTACACTCTCTGATTGCTTGGAGGGGGTAGCTGAGCTTGAAAAGGATCTCACTTCTGCTACAGCATGGGGCTCGCAGTGGCTGGTGAACTTTAATTCAGATAAAACTCAATTTTATTCGGCCAATCGTTATCGTAATAATTTAGATCTTCCTATATTTATGAATGGTAATGTACTAGATGAGTCATCTACCATTCATCTTCTAGGATTAACTCTTACTTCTGATCTTTCTTTTAAACCGTATATCAAATCCATTGCAAAATTAGCATCTGCTAAGGTTGCATCTCTTTATCGAGCTCGACACTTTCTTACTCCAGATTCTATTCTCTATCTCTATAAATCTCAAATCCGCCCCTGTATGGAATACTGTTGCCACATCTGGGGCGGATCTTCTAATGATGCTCTTTCTCTTTTAGACAAGGTGCAAAAACGAATTGTAAACATAGTTGGACCTGCTCTGGCAGCCAATCTCCAATCTTTGTCACATCGTCGTAATGTTGCTTCTCTTTCTCTTTTCTACAAATACTACAATGGGTACTGCTCTAAAGAGCTAGCGTCCCTTGTGCCATCTACTAAAATTCATTCCCGTGTTACTCGCCATTCAATTAAGTCTCATCCTTTTTCTGTGACTGTTCCTAAGTGCTTCAAAAACTCTTATTCTTCTAGTTTTTTTCCTCGAACATCAGTTCTTTGGAATTCGCTTCCTTCATCTTGCTTTCCTGATTCATATAATTTGCAATCTTTTAAGTCATCAGTCAATCGTTATCTTGCTCTACAGATTTAGTCTTTTCTCTTCCAGTAACTTCCAACTCTTATAGTGGTTGCTTGCAGCCTTGTTGGAAGTGAAGATGTAAAAAAAAAAAAAAAAAAAAAAAAAAAAGTTTATTTTATTAGATTATTTTATTATAAATTGAATGCATTATCAAAACAGATAGTCAAGATAAAATAGAATTATTTTTTTTATTATTAAAAAAAAAAAAAAATTCCAAAAAGCATGTATGTTGTATAATCTGTATCAGATAATTACACAAACAGTTCTTAATATTAAGTAACACAATTTGAATGTAACACTTATGTAAATAACAAAATTTACTAATAGTTATGAGCAAAATTACCAAATATATAAAAATACAAAAAAAAAACAAAAACATTGCACAATTGAAATTCAACAATCTACCTTGTGATCAAATAAGTTCCTTATCCAAGAAACTTATGGCTCTAGTTACAACTAAACTATACGGCCCTAGGTACAAGACTTATTTATACGGCCCTAGGTACAAGACTTGTTTCATGAAAGACATTATTAATTAACAAACCCATATCATGCACATAGTACTTAAGTAACAAACAATATAATATACAAGACTATTATCTTTCATCGTTTTACAATACTAGAATTGTAAAACAATATAAGATAACGCTTATTATAATGTTGCTGTGGCAACGCTTTTTGCAAATCAAATTAGAATTAAAAAATGAAAAATATAACTAATCACCTAACTCAGAAGCATAACTTAGAACTTGATAGTTTTCAAAAAAAAAATGGTGGTTGTAGGTACAACAAATTTTCCCCATAGATAAAATCTTCTCTTAGACTATAAAGTTAAATTTTTTTCTTTGAGATCCTTTAAAGAGATATATCCTTTAATACATCTCTTATATTTAACGATCCTATAGACCCTTAGTTATCTATTCAAGTCTAAACCAAGTTTTTTTGTGTGACATAGTTCAACAATAATATAACCATAAATTATAAATAACAATAAGATAATAAATTAGAGTCGCATTTCTATCTCTTTTCTACAAGTACGTCCATGATTGCTGCTCAAGCGACCATAATAACTTGCTTCATCAACCAAGACTCAATCGTTATTCAGTTAAGTTGTCCATTAATTGTTTAAACAAAATATGAGGGGAGGGGGGAAAGTTAATTTGCATCCTTTTACTGGGACTATTCATTTATGGTAAAAAAATCTTTATCACTTTTTCCTTTTAAACATCTGAGTTCTCTTCTGACTTCATTCTGACTTTACAATTCACTGATTTTAAAGTCTTCTGTTCCCAAAATAATTAGTGATTACTTGCAGGTTTGTTAGGAGTGAATTTATTTAAAAAATGATATTAGTAATAATGTTTAAGCTTAATATTAAAAATAAAGTTAAAAGTAAGTTTGTTAATGTATATGGTTATCTGAAGAATTCAAAGTTTTTTTTATATAATAAAAACAGTTTTTTTTATCAACCACTGCAAATAACATTTTCTAAGAAGTATTTTTTTTTTTAGTGGAAATGTTGTTATTGAAACACGGTTCTTCGATGATGATTTATTGGTCAGCACCTCAAAAGTCAGATTATTTTATGTATAATGTTATGTTGATTGTTCTATAATTTTAGATTGTTTTCTCTTGTAAATAGTCTCACTGAATAAATTATTAAAATTATATATTTTAGGATATAAAATTGTTTTATAAGATCTATGATTAATAAAAACATAATGGAAAAGCAATAAAGTTTACTATAGCACACATTTTTGGTAGTCTTAAAAAAAGGAGGGATATGCACTGTAATTTTTTTTGTTTACATTTTTCATTTGTAGAGTTATACTTCTCTTGATGATTTTATTGATTTTTATTTTCTTTATGGACATGTTTTTAGCAGAATAATATTGATGGTATAATTTTATTGTAAATTTATTATAAATATTGTAAATCATAAAATTGTATTTAACAAAGTTGATTTTTTAATATTAAACACTTTTTTTTTTTTTTCTGAAATTAATTCAAATTGAATGTTGGGTGATTTGTGTTATTTGGACTTTTTAAAATCTCCAAATTTCTTAAACGCTTTATTTTAGAGGGGAAAACAAATTTTTTAGGGAATTTTTTTTTTTTTTTTTTACATAATTAGTAATAAAATGATTTATTATTCAAGTGTTTTGTTTTGAAAATGAGTTTACAATAGATTTTTTTTAAATATATATAGAACAAAAAATTTCAATATTTAAATATAATAATATAAAATCAGATAAATCAATTATAAAATCTGATGCATAAAATCAATTATTACAATTTCTTCAAGATGCAATGCAGTTTGGAACTTTAAAGTTTAGTTTCTTTCAATTGTTTAGTCATATAAAATGCCAGAACCAGTAAGAATTCTTTCATCATGTGATGAAAATCTTGACGATATTGAAGATATATTTCAACCAGAAGATCTCACACACGATGAGCGTATTTACAATCGCAGTTTAGTTACAACTCGGGTTCACCAAAGAGCTATATCAAAAGGGTGTGATTCCATTGATGATGAACGGCCACTCGCAGATAGCATTATACCTGGTACACAATGCATCTATATTAAAACATGGGGTTGTACACATAATAACAGTGATTCTGAATATATGGCTGGACTTTTAGCAGCATATGGATATAAGGTTACAACATGTAAGTTTTTTTCAAAAAAATTCTTTTTTTGCTATTACTTAATGACAGTCTTTTTTTTTCAGTTTTTTTTTTTTTTTTTGTTTTAATCGAACAGTTAAAAAAAAAATTTAAATGGCAAGTAAAGAAAATCATCTATAATTGTCAAGTTTTAAATTTTTTTCTAACTTTTAACGATATGTTATAAGTTCTATAAAAATATAGAAAATTGTATTCAAATAGAATTATTCAGGAAAATAATAGCGTTAAATAGTTTTTAGAAATGATGTCAAGTTTTTCAATCTTATTCTTCTATATACACCTTGTGATTTTAGTTAATTCCTGAAGTCCAATATAATTCAAATAAAGTAACTTATTATTAAAAATATTTTTCAAATAAACATATATTTGTATTTCTATTTGTTAATAGTTTATAAAAAAGCAATTTAAAATTTACTTTTTCATTTTTTGTTGCTGAACTTGCCTTGAATAGCTTTAGAAGTTGTAAAAAAAAAAGAACTTTATATGATATATATATATATATATATATATATATATATATATATATATATATATATATATATATATATATATATATATATATATATATATATACATATATATACATATATATATATATATATATATATATATATATATATATATATATATATATATATATATATATATATATATATATATATATATATATATATATATATCTATCTACTATAGCATATTTATATGCGCAATTGCTCACTTTTTTTGCTAGCCTAAATTAAGTGAGCATTTTTAGAAAACGATGAGGGAAAACGAAGAATAATGAATGAAAATGTTGCTGACCCATACCAAACTCTCAGTCGATGTAGCAGCACTCCACGGCGAGTCAGGCTATTTGTCAGTCGATGTATGTACTGAAGCCCCCGGCAGCAGGCTATTTGACATTAGGTGAGTATGACATCATCATGCTCACCTAACTCAGCAGTATAAGATATATACATACATATATATATATATATATATATATATATATATATATATATATATATATATATATATATATATATATATATAAGTTTAATTTTGCTGTGAACATATATTCAGCAAGAGTGCCTGATGAATGATATCAAAACTATATAATTATATACAGGGGCTATTCTAGGAAAATAATATTGGCAGCTGTATACCCAGTAACAACACCTTTCCATAAGAAAATTTGCCGTATATAAGCATTCTTTCGCAAAAAAAACAACATTGTTGTAAAATAAAAAGTCCTCACTTTCTAAATTTGGACAGCGCCCAAATACGGTCAACGCTGACAAAAACAGTCTAGAAAAGCCCCTGATATATATATATATACACACACACACACACACACACACTACATAAAAAGTTGGACTTGGGTTACCATTAGCAGATTTTTATAAATGTATTATTATTGGCTATTAAACATGGTCTACTATATTCTTTTAAGATATTTAGTTTTTAAAGTTTTTATTTTTCCATAATTTTTTAAAATTAGCTTTTCTTTTTTTTTTAGCTGATCCTTTAAACGCTGATTTGTGGTTGTTAAACAGTTGCACAGTTAAAAATCCAGCTGAAGAAAGTTTTAAAAATGAGATAAAAAAAGCGCAAGAGCTTAATAAGTATGTTGTTCTTGCTGGTTGTGTACCTCAAGGACAACCCAGAGGAGAGTTTATGAAAGGTCTTAGTATTGTAGGGGTATGAAACATTTTTATGTAAGGGTATGAAGCATTTTTATTTTGTTCTTCTCTATTTTTTTTTTCTATTTTTTTTATTTTAATTTCCTTTTCATACCTGATTTATATATATATATTTTTTAATGTTTAGGTCCAGCAAATTGATCGTGTTGTTGAGGTTGTGGAAGAAACATTAAAGGGTAAAATATTTTTGAAAGATGTTTTTATTAAAACAATCATAGGTGTTTAAAATATTTCTTTTTTTTTTTAATTTTTTTTTTCTTGTTAGTTATAGTTTTTTTCTTTTTTTTTTAGGACACAGTGTTCGTCTTTTTGGTAAAAAAAAGTTAAATGGTAAAAAAATTGGTGGTGCACCATTAAATCTCCCAAAAATTCGAAAGAATCCGCTTATTGAAATTATTGCAATTAACACTGGGTAAATAGTAATTTGTTTAATTTTTTTTTTTTCTAATAATTTCTAATCTTTTTCTTCAATTTTATTTTTTAATAAAGTTTAGTTAATAATTAATTTTTTTATATATTATTTGTTATGGTTTTTTTGGTTTATTAAATAAAGATTGTTAATAATAAAGTACAGATGCAACTGACACATATGAGCAAATTTAAGATTTGGATTCTGATATTTGACAATATGACCTTATACTTTAGACTTTAGCAATGGCAAGCACTTTTAAGCGGTTGGCAAAAAAGTACTGGCAATTTTTAAACTGAAACATATCTTTTTTGTTTATCAAATACTTCAGTCAAAAATCATGATAAAACTTATGTACAAACAATTTTACTTAAAGTTTAAATGAAACTATTTTTTTTCTACCAGTTTAAATATTTTATTTAGAATTTAATAAAAAGGTTCCTTTTTGCTGTTTTTTATTTTTATATTTTATTTTAACTCAAAAATGAGTTTTTAAAATTGCATGTGCTAGCCGAATAATGACTAACTGGCCAGCGCATTTTTTTTGCACTGGCAGTAAATTTCAAACGAAGACTGTATAACATTGAACGCGTCAGGAGACAGAAGTAGACATTGCTAAAAAAAATTTATTTGCAAATACGGCTATATATTTGACAGTCCCAAATAATTTTTTTTAGCTATATTCTTTAGTGTGTTATTATTTTACTACACTATTATAACAATTAATTTTGTTCTAGTTGTTTGAACCAATGTACATATTGTAAAACAAAACATGCTCGTGGAGAATTAGGATCTTATCCACCTGAAGAAATTGTTGCCAGAGTTAAGCAATCGTTTGAAGGTTAGTTGAAGTTTTTGTTTGTTGCTTAAAGAATATAAGATAAGATTAAAAGACCAACCAACTATTGAACAATTGCTATGATATCTGCAATATGCAAATTAATTGAACGTATACTTGCAAAACATATTATATTGTACATCTAAAACAAACTATTATCAAATAGCCTGAAAAAAAAACCAGACCTGTTTTAGTACTGCTGAAGCGGTATGGGTGCCCAAAAAAAAGCGCCCAAAAATTATTTTTTAATTTTTCTTTTGCTTTTTTATAAAAAAGTTTGAATTTTAAATGCAGTAGTACATAAATATTTTTCAGTTTATTTTAGTTACCTTGTTTATTTTTCAAGTCAATAAAATGAATTAAAATGAAATTGCTTTTTTATCTATTGACGTAGCTATCCTTTTTCGGTTACTAACTGAACGTTAGTTTAAAAAAAAATGAATGTCATTACAAAACTTAATTTTAAAAACTTGTTATGAAATTTTATAACAATGGAGTGTATAAAAAATTTGCAAATAAAATAACTGTTGTGCAAATAAAATAACTGTTGCACAAATAAAATAACTGTTGTGCAAATAAAATAACTGTTGCACAAATAAAATAACTGTTGTGAAAATAAAATAACTGTTGCGCAAATAAAATAACTGTTGTGCAAGTAAAATAACTGTTGCACAAATAAAATAACTGTTTTGCAAATAAAATAACTGTTGCACAAATAAAATGACTGTTGTGAAAATAAAATAACTGTTGCACAAATAAAATGACTGTTGGACAAATAAAATAACTGTTGTGAAAATAAAATAACTGTTGCGCAAATAAAATAACTTTTGTGAAAATAAAATAACTATTGTGGAAATAAAATAACTGTTATGCAAATTTAATTTTTGCATGAATGAACTTTTAATTTTTAGCTTGCTATTTTAGCTTACACGAGGAAAACGAAAAAATGAAATGAATACTTTTTCAGAAAGTTTTGTTTCTTATCCATATTCTTTTGGACTTTTAAAATAATACAAATAACAATTAAATTAATTAACTTTTATTATATTAACAATTAACTTAATAAAAGTTTTATTAAGATCTGTTTAAAATGACACATAGTAAATTTACATTTTATAAACAAGTAAACTTATTTATAAAACATAATTTTTTAAATTTTTAAATCCTCAATGATTAAAAATGATAATATATTTTTTAAAATATAATATGTTTTTTAAAATATAATATGTTTTTTAAAATATAATATGTTTTTTAAAATATAATGTTTTTTAAATTATATGTTTTTTAATCAAAAAAGTATAACCTTTTTAAAATTATGTTTACCATAATCATCTCTTCTTTAAATATCTTTAATTTAACAGGCGTCTTGAATTCACTTTAAAAATTATTAACCTTTAGTAAAAGTTAAATGGACAGATTTGCTAATGTTTAGAGGGATCCCCAACTGCCGAGACAAGTTGTGTTCATATTAAAGAAAATGTTTAAAAAAAACACATTTAGGCTAAATTTTTTTGATTGAAACTAAATAATGAATGCATACCAACAAAATTAAAATTATCATTTTAGTCGAAGCTCGCCTTCTCCATTTTTTTTTTGGTTCTCTGGGTCTGTATAATGTTAGCTGCAATCTGCAGGCTTGATAATTTATTCAATGCGTGTTAATTCATAATAGTTTCAGTATATGACTTCATCGCAATATCTTTTTAAAATAGCGTTTTTTTGTTGTTGTTTTTTTAAAGATATAAGTATTTTTTCTACTACAATCAGAAAATAAAATATTTTTATAATTTTTTACTAAATCACAAAAAGTATTTTTGTGATTTAGTAAAAAATTATAAAAATACTACATAATCAAGAAAAATAGCAGCTATATTGTGTAATTATAAAAAAGTTATCACAAAGTTAAAAAATCTTGTATAATCCTTCATAAAAAAAACTTTAAATTTAATTATAAAATAAAACAGCGTTAAAACTGTAAAACTTAACTTGTAGAAGTGTTAAGTATTTAGTTAAGTAATTACCAAAGTATTTTGAAGAAAAAATATTATTTTTATTCATTAAATGAGGCTTGTTTTGGACTTAATGATTTAGTTACTACTTACAAAAACGATAGTTTTAAGCACTTTGCATTTCTTATTGTTTAATGAAGCGTGTTAAAAACTTTATTATTATCGAATTTTAATTGTCAATGTTATGCTATTCAAAAAAATGTGCGGTTGCTACAAAAAGAATTTTTTTGGCTGGTAGCGAATAATTTAATGCGATTCTTTGTTTTTATATTTATATTATAATTATTTCTTGTATATTTTAGTACAAATATTTATTTTAGCTTTAATTTAGTTTGATTTGAACGGTTATTAGTAAAATAAGTCGTTTTATATTTATTTTCTACTTGTTTCAGTTTATATGTTTTATTCAAGTCACTCCTATTTTTGTCAGTTTATACTTTAAATTAGTTTATACGCTTTTGTAAATTAATCTTTTAGTACCTTGTTTATATTTAGTTTAAACCAGTACATTTTACTGTAAATATTCGTTATATATTAAATTTTATAAATTTAATTTTTAATTGCATCATAAACTTTTTTTGGGATTTAGTAAAAAGTTATACAAAATTTTGACAAAAAAATAATACGACATCTTGAAAGAAAAAGTTTGAAATCTGTCTGTCAGAAATGCTAAGATCCACTTGAAAAGTATATTGCATGATGAAAGTTTTATTAATAGTTTGAATGAAATACGGAATCAAACCTTTGTTCAAAATTTAATATATATAACATCTGTTATCAGATAATTGCCAGGTGCTATGCTCCAATCGTTAGCAGATTCTAAGAGATAAGTTCACAATGAATGTTTGTTAAAGAAAGTGTGCTGAATAAGAGATGCTATATTTGATTAAGTTACTCCACAATATTAGAGTTGATAATTTTTTCCATAATTCTATAACAAGTACAAGTCAGAGAAATGGGTCTATATATCTATATATGGGTATAGATCTGAATACAATGTAGAATCATTTTTAAAAATTAGGGAGACAAAAGCTTTGCATCATTGATGAGGTAAGGTGCTTAGTAAAAACTAGTCCAAGTAAATATGATGGGCAATAACACAAAACATGAGCTAATTTTTTAAGAAGTTCATTGAGTAATCCACCGGAACTATAAGATGAGCTAGATTTGATTACCACTAAGGTTTTATATGCTAACTCTACAGAAAAGTTAATGAAATTAATACTTTTTGAAACAAGGTCAATACTTATTGAATAGGAATTATGTTTGCATAAAGCCATTCAAATGTTACAATACATTTATTAATAGAATGATTAAAAATAAAAACTAAAGCCTTAACTAGTTCTGGCTTAATTGGCTTGATAAAAGGTGATAAATCTGGTTAGTTGATGCATTCCCAAACTACATCTGAGAATTACATATTTAGATTTGTACAAAAGTATCTGAAGGTAAGCTAATAAGAATAGTATGTGTTCACATTGTTATTTGTGGGATAAGATTTATTTCTGTAGAAAGATGCTTTCCCTATGGCAATAAATTAGGCAATAATTAGCCAAAATGTTATGTTAGTTTAAAAGCATAGCTTTGTGTAAATGTTGGCATTGTTTTATGCATTGTAGATTATTAGCAGTTATCCATTCTTGGTCACTGCAGGTTTTGATAGTATGTAGGTGTTATATTTTAGATTGTGGGTCAGAGTCAAGATTTTCCAGGATAGTCACTACTATATGACTACATGTCAAGTAGTCGTATGGCAGCAACTGTGTCTCTAATCTTCCTCGGATGTGTTTGGATGCGTTTAGGTTTTGGTTGTGTGTTTTTATACATATATTGAGGGAAATAAGCAATGACAACATTGTAGTTGCTGACATTACTAGTGTTTATCTGCAATTAAATGTCATTAGCATTGGAATTTTGATCAGTTTGAGATAAAGATGAACCCAGTGGTTTTAGAGTTTCAAAAATATAACACCTCTGGACATTTGTTAAAATTTCAAAGCAAGTCTATTTAGAGGCTGTCACTCAATTTGGTTCTTGGTTCATTTTCAATTAGTGGTATTTCTTACATAATGGTTTCATATCACATTTATTAAAGTTTACAGCTGTGTAAATCAGTGGTAGATTGTTACCAGAACAAAATCTTCAAGTTTTATGGTTGTTGTTATGGTTACAATATCTTCGAGTGCATAAGAGAGTTGTAAGATAGAGCTTTTCTGTTAAGTTGATAGCCATTCTGGTTTTTCTTAGTAAAATGAATAATGGTTGGTTGCCTTATAAATCAAATCTCAAAAACAGTCCAGGGTCGGCAATGTCTGACCATTAAATTGAGCCCTGATGTGGTAGCCTATGTGGGCAACTTTTAGTAATTATTATCTCAAAATTATTATCTATGTTTCTCAAGGTATTCAGTAGTATGCCAGGAGTGGCTTATAGCAGTTGATTGACTATTGCCATATACGTTTAAATTGTAACCTATATTTGTTTATCATGTTTATCATGTATAACACACGATTATAAAACACATTATTTGTGAAAATGTTTTTATACTTGAATTTTGAAAATTATTATTTGTTAGTAATTATTGATCTCAAATTGAGTGGCAGGCACAAGTACTCCTCAGAATTTTGTGATATGAAACAAATAAAACAAATAAACATTCAAATCTAATTAACAAGATTAAACTTTTTTTTTTATATAATTTTTTTTTTATATATATTTTAAATATCTTTTCAATACATCTTTTTTTAAATAGAGGGTGTTGTAGAAATATGGCTAACTAGCGAGGATACTGGTGCATATGGTAAAGATATTGGAGTAACTCTACCTGAACTTCTTTGGCAAATAATTGAGGTTATTCCTCCAGGTGGATTAATGCGTATTGGAATGACAAATCCTCCATATATAAAAGAATATTTAGATGTTCGTGATTTAATATAGTTTTAAATAAGATTTTTAAATTAATACTTTATTTGTTAAGTTTTTAAAATAAAAATAATAATATTTTAATTAAAAAAAAAAAAATTAAATTGTTTCTGCTTTACATATTAAGTTTTATAATATGGTTGATTAGGAAATGGCAAAAATTTTAAACCATCCACGTGTGTATTCATTTTTGCATATACCTGTGCAATCAGGTTCAAATAATGTGCTTCACGATATGAAACGAGAATATAGAATTGAAGATTTCAAAAATACGGTTAATTTCTTAAAAGACAGGTATTACAAATATTTAATATCTAGTCCTTACTTTTATCAAATGTATTTGTATACATTGTTCAACCCGTGGATAAAATCTGGTTACTTATATGTAGATACTATATACTTATATTTAGAGTACCCAGGTTAACTATAGCAACAGATATAATATGTGGATTTCCAACAGAAACTTTAGAGGTATAGTTTTTTTAATTTTAGAGCTATGTAAATTTTTTATTGTTGTTGAAGTTATGCACCTAAAAATTTAATTTTAGGACTTTGCTGATTCTTGCGCATTAGTTCAAGAATATCAGTTTCCAAGTTTGTTCATAAACCAATTTTTTCCTCGACCTGGTACACCTGCTGCAAATATGAAAAGAGTGCCAACTGATGAGGTCAGTTGATTTTAGATTTGCAGATATATTTAAATTCAAATTAATTATTTGTATTGTCATTTGTTTATTATAGTTTACAGATGTTGTATTTGTTTGGTATGCTGGTAAATACAATTAGCTAAAACCTGAAAGTCAAAATAGGAAAAAAATGAGTTTAAATCTAGAAAAATTTTTTGTTTAAATTTTGAAATAACAAACAAAATCGCAGAGCAAAAATAACAATAAAAGAATAAAAAATAATATTTACATACAGAAGTTAGGGTCACCTTCTTATTAGACACGAAGAAAGGAAATAAGGGAGACTAGAATTTAAAATCATTGAAACGCAAAATTTTGACTCTTTCTTTTTAAAAAATTGTGTAGTAAAATTAAATTTTTAAATATTTTAAACTTTGAAAATATTGTGAATTTAAATTTCATCCCGGAATCTTATGCTCAAAAGATATGATGGTTTACTCTCTATAGAGCTTTTTAAAAATGGGTTCCCTCAAGCAAATCTATTAGATTTCAAGTTTTGCATATTTTGAGTTTTACTTTTTTTATTTTTCCCCACAATGTGGTTTTTTGTCTTTTTTACAATTTTGAGATGTTTTTAACATACTTAAAAACTTACTAAAGTAATATGAAGTTATGAAAAAGACTCTGAAATGTTTATTTATTTGAAAATAAATTCTCAAGATTGCCATATTTAAATATTATATACTTTTCTAGTACATATTTAAATATTATATACTTTTCTAGTACATATTTAAATATTATATACTTTTCTAGTACATATTTAAATATTATATACAAGGTGCAAATTAAGTGATAGCAAATTGTGAAATCTGGAAATATATCTAGCCATCAACTGACTGTAATTGAAATTTATTACAAAATAATGAAATTAAAAAACATGATTTTAATTCCATCTTTCTTTTGTCACTGAATGTTAGTTCTCTGAACTGGTAATGTTATGAATGTTAGTTCTCTGAATTTTTTTCTCTGAAACAATTCAGTATGAAAACTTTTTCGTTTGTGACTTTTTTATGATTGCCAAACTGCCAAATGAATAAGTTACAACAAAGAAATCTAATTAGCCTTCATAGAAGTGGAATTTTGAAGAAATTTGTATTTGAAAATAACTTTCAATAAAAAATTTATGAGGCCCACTCAGTTTTAATTCATTTTCAATGTGGTCCAATACAAGTTTTCAGAAGCCAATACAGAGGTCTGCTTTCCAATATACTAAATCATTTTTAAAAATATCTTGAGGTTTTATCACCATTTTTTCTAGTTGCTTTTTCTTTCATTCTTTACACATTAAACAAAATAGTTGAATACAATATATGATATATATATATATATATATATATATATATATATATATATATATATATATATAATATATATAATATATATAATATATATAATATATATAATATATATAGTATATATAATATATATAATATATATAATATATATATAATATATATAATATATATATAATATATATAATATATATAATATAATATATATATATACATATATATATATATATATATATATATATATATATATATATATATATATATATATATATATATATATATATATATATATATATATTAGTTGTGTAGAACATATAATTGTCAAATAAAATAGTTGAATACAATATATGATATATATATATATATATATATATATATATATATATATATATATATATAATATATATAATATATATATATATATATATAATATATATAATATAATATAATATATATATATATAATATATATAATATAATATAATATATATATATATATATATATATATATATATATATATATATATATATATATATATATATATATATATATTAGTTGTGTAGAACATATAATTGTCAAATTACTTTATAATGTTAAGTGCAGTTTTTTAAACAAAATAAAGTTGCTGTGTCATTCACTTAACTTTATTTGATTGGTTGTTATATTATTAGATATAAGTATTTTGATAAAAGTAAATGTGTATAAAGGTGATTTTGTATGCAATATTTGATATTGTTATTAATAATTGTGTGTTAATTTTGTTATAAGGTTAAAAGAAGAACTCGCGTTATATCAGATATATTTCAATCATATCTTCCATATGAAAACCAAGTAAGATTTTTATAGTTTAGTATAGTTTAATTGTGATAAAAGATGATGTGATGTGTTTTAAGTAACTCTTAAAAAAAATCCAAAAGGTCAGTTATAAGGTTATAGACATCAAGTTATGCATCTGTAGAATAAACTTGTTGCAAAAAAAGCTGAATAAGCAAAAAAATGGATAAGATCTTGAGAATTACACCACAATTGTAAACTCATCCCAAATTCAGTGAATTCAGTTACCTCATCCAGTGAAAGAAGGTCTTTGAAACTTATTTACCAGTTAAAATGTGCTTTGTTGCTATTTTTTTTTAATCGTATTATTTAAACTGCAATACACAAAAAACTGGTTGTGAATAGTTAACTAAATTTGAAGGATACTGTTCTCAACAGTGTTTTAAAAATTGAATGTGTTCAGTATAATAAACAGTACTTGTATTTGCAGTAAGCATTTATATTTCTTATTGACTTTTTGATTTCATTTTTATTCAAAATATTTTGAATATAAAGGTAAGAGTTTTGAAAACGGTAAAAAAATAAATATATTTAACACAACAGGCTTTCACAGGAAGGTGTGCGAAAACACGTCTTTATATGACCACACAAAAAATAATATGTTTTAACGATTTGACCACAGCTTTTGACATATTTTCAAAATTTAAAAGTCCGCTACAAAAACATACCTAAATTTATTCAAAAAAAAAATTGTAAAAAGAAAAAAAATCTTAACGAATGAGAAAATAAAAATACTTAGTTAAAGCAAAAACACAAAAAAATAAATATATATAACCCAACTAAAACAAAACTCATTAAACTAAAATGCTTAGTCTATATAATTTATGCAATAAAAAACCATTATAATCTTTGTTTTAACATTTTTATTTAATATGTTTCAAAAGATAAACATAAAAAATACATGATTATATAAATAAATAAAATAAAAAAACAGTTTATTAATACTTATTTTAAAAATTAATTAGAAGTGTTTTTTTACTTTATTGAAAGGTGTTTCAATAATACAAAGGCATTTAAGATCAAACTTATTTAACTGTAATGGCTTTCTAAAACTTTTTTTTTCAACAAAATTTTGTTTATCTTTTTAAATGTATTAACTTTAATTATTCTTATATTAAAATTCGTTAAAGAGACTTTCGTAGTTGTAGAATGTCATCGTTTATAAAAACAAAAAAAAATTTTATTTTTTAATGCTATTCATTATAGCAATGCACACTTAAACAATTTATATATTATAAATTAAAAAAATATATACAACTGTCAATTATATTTTTTTTTTTTAAAAAAAAACCTTGTTATCAGCTAATTTTTACTTTATTTTTTTAGCATTTTACTAATATAAAAACATTTGTTAAGAAGTTTTGATGTAATCAATTTCACTTTTTCGCGTTTTTTAAAATATTTTTTGAATTAGTCGCGGTCAAATCATCATAGCAAAATGTAATTTGTGTGGTCATTTAAAGACATGTTTTCGCACACCTTCCTGTGAAAACCTGCAATGAGTATATTTTAGACCAAATTAATCTCTTACTTTTTTCCTAAATCTTGTTTGACAAAATTCTGATCTAAATACTTGAAATTCAAAATTCTGTTTAAACTTTAGTTGTGGTGTTTTATTTACTACATCTTTTACAATATCAGGCCTTATTATTAAAAAAAGCACCCATGTGCTAACAGGCAAGTGCTCTACACAACTACCACATAAAATTCTTCAATTGAATCTTAAAAAATATTTATACATAACAATTTTAACAAACGCTCTAATGGATTTAATTGAAAATAAAAACATTATTATACATAACGCTTTTAGCAAACATGTTTACAAAATTAAGTTAAAAATGTTTATTATTATGCCTAACATTTTTTGCAGGCGTTTTTTACGAAATTAATTTAAAAAACGTTTTGCTGAACAAGATTAAATATAACTTTTAAAAGACTGTTTTAAAAATAAAGTTTTGTTATAATTACTTCGAACTAACAACTTAATAGCGTTTAATTAAAAACAATTAAAAGTTTTTTTTTTTAATCTTGTTTTTTTATTATTACATTAAACTTCCATTATAAGGATGTTTATTTAAACAACATTTGCCCTCAACGAAAACATGTTATCCAAAATATTTTTTTGCTCAAGTAAGATTTAAAATCAAACAAATAAGTAATAGTTTCTCCCTCTCAAATTCTTGAGATATATGCAATTTTATACTTTCATTACTATGTTAACAAGGGTTGTTTATCTTGCCCGGAAATCTTAAATATTCTGTTTATGTGCTTGTTTAATATGTGTTGAGTGATTGCTTCTGCTTTAAGATAAGGCCTGCATTATGAATGTGCTGTAAAAGCATACAAACTAAAATGTATCAGATTCTGATGTTTTAAATTTAGGGTTGACAAAAGTAATGAATATTGAATATGCATTATCTAACATTTATTAAAATTGCAGTAATTAACTATTTGTTTGAATAAAAGATTATACCGACTAATTTATAGGGATAAAAATAAGTTTTAAGTCTTTTTGAGAAATTTTTTCAACTTTATTTTTATACTTTATTCAGAGGAATTCTCACAATGTAAGGGAGAGTGGGGCACCATGAAACATGTGGAGACCTCTTAAGTGTTGTGACAAACACCTTCATGTGGTGAAATAGTTACTATTATAGCTAAGTTTTGAAAAAAAAAATCATTTGACATCATTAGGCCTGTGAAGGGTTGAAATTTGTTTTTGTTTTTTATGAAAAATTAATTTATTAGTTTTTAAAGTTCATAAGTTTTGAAGTGTCTTATTCAATGCGTCTATCGATAAGTGACATTTTGTAAACTACAATCATAAGCTTTTTACTTCATTAAACAAAATCATTGAAAAAACAAGATGATATTAAAAATAAAGCGATTGTTTTCTATTAGCAAGTATAGGGTAACTTGATACAGTATTTGTGGGGGGGGGGGGGGGCTAAAACTGTAGAAAAGTACTCCATTTTGTCATAAACACTAAAAATCATTCCTTTTAATATTGGCATTCAATTTTTAATAGTTTTAAGTATATATAAAACAAGGAGATCCAATTTCAATACAAAGCCATTATTAATTGACGCCTAAAAATGACATTTAAAATGATATATTATCTGGTCTTCTGAATTGTGATTTGGACCTATGGATGCATTATTTGGGTTCAAACCATTAATTTGTTAATATTTCAAGTAAAGATCTGTCTTTTCTCTATGTTTTATATCTTTTATTTACTTTTTTAATGATCTAATTTTACTTCCTATTGTCTCACAACTTGCTTTGCAAACTTATTCTACAAATTAAACCAATCGCCTAAAAAAAAGATATATTAAACATATAAATGAATATATATATGTATATATATATATATATATTATATATATATATATATATATATATATATATATATATATATATATATTATATATATATATATATATATATATCAAGCCTCTCTGGGAAAAGTGTCACACGCTTTTCCCGGATATGCCCACGCTTAAAGTAAATTTTTAGACAACTTAACCACGTTTTTTAATAGTAAGCATTTTAAGAATTAGCGGCAAAATAAAGCTATAAGAAACTAGAGAATAAATCAGCTATACTTGAAGAAAAGAACTGACTATACAAAATAGAAAATCTTAATAAAATAAGTTAAAAAAGTTTATTAATAAGAAAAAGAAAACTGTTGTCAAAAAAATAATATACCTAAATATTTACTGTTTTTTTCTTATTTTTAGAGCGTTTGTTATTTTCCACTACCATAATTGATACAAGTAGAGGGAAAAGTTATGTAAGAATATATCGAAAACAAAAATATTTTTTGATATACAATTTTTTTGCAACTTTTTTCAGTCAGTATATTACGGAAATACTTTTTAAATTGCGCTAGAAACACGGACAATTTTTAAATTTGTTTTTCAAATGTCTTTGCTACACTTTACTGTTTTTATCAATGCACAGGAAAGTGAGAAAACTAATTGCTATTTATTTGTAAAACAAAAATTTTTTTAACAAGTTTTTTATGTAAAAAAATGAAACAATACTGCAAAATTTTGTGGGCTATTGGATTGTTAAAACTACTGAACTTTCTTAACAAACTTTTTAGGAGCCCATTTAAAACTTTTGTTTAAGTTTTTAAATACATTTATTTAAACAGAGCAATCGTTATATGTTAATTATCTCTAGTAACTCGTATTAAAATTGGAAATTTGGCAAAATAATAAAAACAACTTCATACATGCATCATATGCGGTAAATACATTTATTAAAGAAACTATGTTATTCTTTTATTTAACTTGTTCTGTCATTAACAAAATTTATTAATCAAATGATATTTTTTACAAATAAGTAACAATCTATTTTCTTATTTTCCTATTATATAAGTATTGAGAAAAAATGTCAAATATAAAAGCAAAAACTTTTTTAAAAGCAAAATGACGTAAAAACGAATAAACGAAATAAATAAACATAAGAAAAAAAATTAACAAAATTTTTTTTAGTTCTAGCGTACATAGCAAATTAGTTTCTTAATTATATAGATTGATAAAAATTGTGAATAAATTTCATATCAAAACTTTCAATTGTTGTTAAATCGTTATTAAAGAAAATCTTTTTTTCAATAACAACTTTAAAAGAAAAGAATACAAAAGTTGATTAAAAATTTTATAAAAAAATTTATTTATTTTATTTTATTTTTTTAATTAATAAATTTAATTAAACTTGATGTTACAATTTTTTTTCCTTATTTAAGAATTTTTTAAAGTAAATAAGTTTAGCTTTTTGCCATGAATTATTGAAATGCTTTATAAGAAAAGAGATGTGAACTGCCGTGGTTAGTGTGTCTAAAAAAGTTACTTTAAGCGTGGACATACAAGGCGTGCCTCTGCACGTCTTTCCCGGGAAGGCTTGATACATATATATATATATATATATATATATATATATATATATATATATATATATATATATATATATATATATATATATATATATATATATATATATATATATATATATATATATATATAACATTTAGTAAAAAAAATATAAATACTAAAGTTTTTTTAATAATATACGCTAAAGAATATTAAATGTTATGTTTTTACATTAAATATTTTGAATAGCAATGCTTAGTTAAAGCACATTTTTATTTTAAATTTGTGTAACATAAAATTGCAAGCATTTCCTAAAGTTCTGGTGCTTTTTTGTCAGTTTTTTGTTTACAAAATGAATTACCTCATGTAATTCATTCTTCCCTAAACCAAAGATTTTCTCATTTAATTGACTTGATAAGTATTAATAAAGTTGTCATATTGAAGTAATTTTTTAAAGTTGCTTTTGGTCTTGTGGAAAAACTGTGTTTTCAATTTGTTAACTTACATAAATATTTTGAAAATCACTCAAGAAGAGTGCCACCAGTTTTTTAAAATTTCCTTGTTAATTATTTTTAATTCAATGCTTATGCAATTCTTTTGTTACGTAACTTTAAAAAATCAAACTCTTAATCATAGTTTTTTTATTAGATTATAATCGTTTGGTAATGTAAGTGATGTAATGTAAGTAACGTAAATATATAGTATCAAAAAAACAAGTTTATTTTCCTTAGCCTGTCATCTTTAATAAATTTTTTATATTTTAAAAATTGGTATAGAGTTCTCAACATCTTGTGAAAGTTTCTAATACAAACTTAAAAATACAAACTACTGAGTCGCATAAATCTGACCTTTTAAATTTTTTTACCTTGTTTTCGGTGTAATGTAAGTTAAATACCATTTTCAGTAATAAGTTTGCCCTTTATGGTCAGACTCAAAACTTTATAGCTTTTTTTATTTTTAGAATAACAGAATTCTTACAAAATAGTTAAAAATTTAATTTACAGTTTAAATAAGCAAATATTAGATAAATTTGTGCATGTAATGTAAGTTAAAAATAGAGTTGCCCAAATATATATGAGTATGTATGTATATATATATATATATATATATATATATATATATATATATATATATATATATATATATATATATATATATATATATATATATATATATATATATGTATATATATATATATATATATATATATATATATATATATATATATATAATATATATATAAATATATATATATATATATATATATATATATATATATATATATATATATATATATCAGTCGAGATACAAAAGCAATTAGAGCTGTCTGTATCGGACCGAACAATCAGACGTGCTGTTGAAGCCGGATTGTTTTCTCGACTCCCTGCAAAGAAAATGCTAATTTCATTAAAGAACCAGAAGAAAAGACTCCTGTTTGCTACATCTCATATTGACTGGAATGTGCAGAAATGTTGAACTTTGATTCATCCTGTTCAGTGATGAATCAAAGTTCAACATCATTGGGGGCAATAGCATTTGCTGTGTACATCGACCGGCCGGAAAACGTCTTGATTTATGTTATTGCCATAATACCGTGAAGCATAGTGAAGGCAATGTAATGGTCTGGGGGTGTTTTTCTGCTAACAGTGTAGGTCCAATACATCCAATCGATAGAATAATAGATCGTTTCATGTATAAAAATATCCTGAAAGATGTTGTTACCTCATGCTGAATGGAATATGCCAATAAAATGGGTTTTTCAGCAAGACAATGATCCGAAACAAACTGCAAAAGTAGTCAAGCAGTGGTTTCAAGACAACCACCTATCGGTGATGGATTGGCCCCCTCAATTTCCAAATCAACCTTATCGAAAACCTGCGGGTGATTAATTCTGCGTCAACTGCAAAATTAATCGTGAAGGTGTTCATAAAAAGGATCAACTGTTTGAACAAATCCAAAAGGGCCTGGGCAGCGATTCCACAAAGTTTCATTGATCACCTGATCAAATCTATGCCTTGAAGATGCAAGGCTGTGATCGAAACAAAGGATTCGCCATGAAATATTGAATGCGAAATACAGCTTGTTCAACATTTTGTGGAGATGCACTTGTTTTATCCAGAAGAAAATCAACTTTTTTTAATACTTTTGATTAATTTATTATTTTTTGTGTACAAATAATGAACTTTGTGATGAATAAAACTTAAAGAATGTTGTCTCTAAACAGTTACATAGTTATTTCTCTAAATTGAAAAAATGCAGCACTTTTATATAATGAAACTAAATTAGCATTATTTGGTTGCACTTGTTTTGTCCAATACTGTGTATATATATATATATATATATATATATATATATATATATATATATATATATATATATATATATAATTTTCTAGCCTGACTAATAACCCCTGCTAGAATATTTGTTTAGCCTAGGTTGTAAAAAAAACCCATATTTGGCTGACGCTGGGGTCCCAGTCAGTTTCTACCTGTCATGTTGAAAGATCATTTTGTCATGTCTTTTGGCTTATTGAGGGTATATGGTTAAAAATGATGAAATTGACAACAAAGTGATTTTGATGAAAGGAAGAACAACATTTTATTTTGAAGAAAAATTGATTGCAAACCATTTTGGTTTATACTTTGTTTGTAATTGCTTATGGAGTTATGCAAATCATTTAACCCTCGACTTCTTCATGACTTAGGGAGGACATAGACAGAAAAGATCTTATTTGAGCTCTCAAGAATAACAGGATTGTTGTCTGATGGAACTGAGATGAGATGGAACTTCTTTAACTTGCTGAACAAACAGTTTTTCTATGCATATAGTAAGGGCCTTACTCTAATGATCTTCCTATTCTCCAGCCACACACAGATGAGATTCTTAGCATAAATTAAAACTCCTTCTCCTAAGCCGCTGTCAAGTTGCATTTCTTTAAATAGACAAACACACCTCAGATTGATTCCTTTTGTACCTTTTCCCAGATTTCTGATTTGATTAGCCCTGCCTTTTTTGCTGATATTCAAAGTTTTCCACTATTGATGTGTGTTTTTGCTTGTTAGAAACAAGCCAATGTCATCTTACTTCTGTTTTCTGCAAGGTGATGGAGAGCTTTTTTCATGACTGAAATGTTGAAACTATGATGGTTACTGTTAGGTTGTGTTTTTTATGTCATGAAAAACATAACCTAACAGTAATCATCATAATTTTACACCTGGAAGATTGCGCATGAAACCTGGTAAAGACTTTTGATATTATTTCTTACATGCTTGAATCTTGCCTAGAAAATCTTTAAGATTCTTCTGAATTTCACTAAAGCTTTTAATAAGATTAGTCACTTCTATTTGTAAAATTATACTTTTATGGGTTCAACACAAGCATCTTTAGCTGGATAGCCTCCTTTACTTGTTGCAGTGAAAGAGTTGTATAAGTTGACTACTTCTCTGTATGGTTCTGTATTAGAGCCACTTTTCTTCGTGATCTTATGCAATAATATGTTAGATCTCACTCATCACTTTTGTATGCTGTTTACTGATTACACAAAATTATAGGGGTTATAGAAAGCACCTCTAACTACTGATCAAGAGGACATTGACCATCTAGTGGACGTCTACATGGGTTCACACATGTTGCATGAGTACTAACCTATACAAGTGCAAAGTTATTTTCTTTGACAAGAGTGCTTACTAAAATAATAGTTTTTGTGTACTTTATAGAATTTATGTACTTTATAGAATTTATGTACTTTATAGAATGTGCAAGCACTTCTCTAGTTTTTCTTTTCTGAAGTACCAAAAAAGAAAGTAACACTTAATTTTTTTTTTAATCTGTTATGATGACCAACATTAGGTCCTGTTTCATGTCATCTGGCCTGTAACCTTCAGCAGTCCTTGATCAGTCGACTATTTTTTTCAGCACAGTCATTGACACATTTAATTAACTTCAAAAAAATTTTAAATTTTGAATTAAGCAACAAGCTTAGCTTCATTCAACACGAGCTTTCCAACTGTCACGAATAGCTATTAATTGTAAAAGTGAAATAGAGATTTCAAATATAGAAAGCTTCTATATTCAGTGCCGACCTAAAAGTGTTTGAGATTGGCAAAAAATTGCCATCTATGTTTTATGTTTCTATGTTTTATGGTAAAACCTTTGCATCAAATTTTAGGGCTATATATATATATATATATATATATATATATATATATATATATATATATATATATATATATATATATATATATAAATATACACATTTATTTTTAATGTCTGATCTAATGTCTAATGACATTTTTAATCTCGTCATCAGACATTAAAAATATTTATTTTTAATGTCTGATAATAAAACTAATAGCTTTGTTTTTGAGACTAATAATTTTGTCTAATAGTTTTGAATTATTATGAATAAATAAATACTTGTTTTGATGTCTATATAGAAAGAAGTGATTTAAAAATAATCTCTATGATTAGTTTTATGTTTATATCTTTTTTATTTTCTTGATTTCACATTTAAAAAAGTCTTAAATTTCTTGAAGATATTTTTTAAAATGACACTACTTGATATTATTTTGTATGTTTTTATAAAGAAATTTACTTTAATATTTTAATTTTAAATTTATTTAGTTTAATAACAATATAAATAATTTTAATTTTTGCAACTTTTTGAATTTTTAGTTAGGGGAACATCAAACAATATTAATAACAGAAAATGCTAAAGATGCAGTGCATTTTGTAGGTCATAACAAGTCTTATGATCAAGTAAGAAATTTTTTAATGTTATTTTTTTTTTTTTTTTTTTTTTTTTTTTTTTTTTTTGTGTGATTCTGTGTAAAAATCATTCTAACAATCATAATAATGTTGATTTTAAATTTTAGATAAAATAAATAAAAAAAAGGAAATCTTATAAAAATTTTTTTCACATAGAATTTCTCATAAGCAACATTTTTACAAATATTTTTTCATAAGCAACATTTTTACTTATTTTTATATTTCAAGTTTATATATATGTATCAAATATCAAGAAAATAAATTACTTTAAAAATCTTTTTATCAAAAAAATGTATTAAAAAACATTTTTGCTTTTCATGATTATTACATAGTTGCATGATAACTTGTTAAGTACATATTTCTTTTGTTATTTAACAAACAAATTTTTTTTTTTGTTCACATACATAAAATATGATAAAAATTAATATAGAAACTAGTAGTATATGAATCTTTTTTTTTTTAGAAAAATTTATTATTCATTTATTATGAATAATAAAAGATTTTTATTGTGGTGCTAACCCAAACTTGCTAACCCATATTCGCTAACCCAAACTTTTAGTCAATTTAGTGGTTGCTTGCATCTTCTACCTTGATAGTCAGTCTAAAAAGATGCCAGACATCTGTGTCCCTCGGACCATTTTAAAGACCCATTTGAAGGGGGCAACCAAACTTTGTTCATTTTGTCACAATAAATAAATAAATAATATATAAAATGTAAATTATTTACAAAAAAGATCTATATTAATATATGAGGAGCCCATTTGCAATACACGCTAAGCCCGAGTAAACTGATTTTGAGAAATCACTGAAAAACTAAACTACTCTTAGTTGTGTATTAACAAAAATTGATATTTTTTTGTCCATTTTTAAAACTAAAATTTTTTTAATTGGTCTAATATTTAAATAGATGATAGATTTTAGTATATAGAATGTAGAAATAAAATTAACTTAAAATTTTTACTTTTAGGACATTTTGCAGATAGGCTCCTCGTATAAATGGTGTTAACTATATGAAAAAGTACAACATTGTGATAGATGTAGTTTTTGATGGATATTTTATATATTTATATATATATATATATATATATATATATATATATATATATATATATATATATATATATATATATATATTTATATATATATATGTATATATATCTATCTGTGTGTGTGTGTATATATATTATCTAACAGATTTAAATTTTTGACAAATAGAATTTCATACTATTCATTTATGCAAAATTTACAGGATTTTGTGGTAGGGTTATAAGCTTTTACACTTTATTTCTTTTATTTCTTTATTTATTTTACAATTTATT